TATTATTATTATCATTATTATTATTATTGTTGTTGTTGTTATTGTTAGATCTTGTTGTTGATTTGCAACGCATTATAACTTCTGTCTGAGTTGTCCCCTATCTCTTCTTAGCAGTTTTCCCTGTTACTGTAACGGAGTGTAAGGGTAAGGGGGCTCTTTTAAGAAAGTTCTTATAATTTGTTAATTCAATTCATTATTTAAAAAAATCTTCTTGACGATCCAAAGTCCATGCTTGGTTGGGAATACAAAAACTTGGTAAATTTATGTATCGTTTCGCTTCAAAGATTATCTTGGCCAATTATATGATAAATATCACGCCTACTAATACTTTTATTATCTTTCTTAATACTGACTCCTAGGCACATTTCATAAAATTAATGTGTACACACTCTCCGTTAGCTATTTTTATCTTCTTTCATTTATTCCATTTTAACAATTTTATTTCTGCCATTCTCCGGGGCAGATTAAAGGGAAGTAGTCAATAAAATTCTTTACCCCAGTCATTTACACAGTTGTATCTCTTTGAACGCATCGTTTTGGGAAATTCCCACTCAACTGCAAGTTCTTTGCGAGCTACGATCTATTTGTTGCCCCCGAAGACCTGATAGAATTCTGAAAAAATCTCAACTTCTTGGGGAGTATACAGTGCAAGCTGCCATTTCACAGGCGCTAAAACACTTAGGCCTACATACTGAAAAGATTTTTCGATGCCGGGTACCCATTCCCACCATAGTGAAGTGAGGAAAATTCGTGTAAAGTGCCTTTCCGAGGGACACAACATCGAGTCTGAGCCTCGAACCCCCGAGCCTTTTTTACCGGTAGCCCAACTACAAGACTACCGACGTACAATGGTTTAAACTATTTTTGTATTTCATGCACAGTGAAGCAGTTACTTGATAGATCTAAGCTGGTTACCTGGAGAAACATGATACCAATATGACCACCGTAACTCAATCTTTTTTAAAGGTAGTGATTGTCTTTCAACCGCATTGGAAAAACACAGGCTGCTTTCATCTTTGAATAGGATTGGAAGACCAGAGATTTCTCACTTCGAACAAAACTGAGGATTTTCTATTCAAATGTAAAGTCAGTCCTGTTGTATGGGTGTGGGGCATGGGACGTACCACAGACTTGCATAATAATAAAAAGGATCCAGGTTTTCTTAAACAAGTGTCTAAGAAAGTTACTGAGGATCAGATGGACAGACAGGATCACCAAAGAAGAAGTGTTCAGGAAAACAAGACGGTCTCAGTCAGCGATGAGGCAGGAAGAAGGCGGTGGCGATGGATTGGACATACTCTCAGGAAGTCAGGAAGCTCCATATTAAAGAACGTGTTAGATTGAAATCCACAGGGTAAAAGATCAAGGGGAAGACCGCGTGGAACCTGGAGAAAAATCCGGCAGCACGGACAACATCAAACCGATTGAGAATTCCTCCCAAACGCGCCTCAGGATGTCTCAGGCAACCGTGTTGATAGTAGCTGTTATTCGATCTTTCATGTCATCGATATTTTCTGGAAGTGGTGGAACATAAACTTTGACTTTAACATACTCACACACAAAAATTACACACAGTGAGTTCCGGGGATCTGGTAAGCCAACCGCAAAGAGCGAGGTCTTTAGCATCTCTTCTTCCAATCCACCGCTGAGGCACGTTTTCATTCAGGTACGCTCGAACCCATAGATGCCAATGGAGCACTGCTCCATCTTGTCGAAAAATGAAGTCATTCCAATTTGCCTGTAGTAGTAAACTAAATAGCCACTTCTTGTGGGAGTATGTTAAAGACCAAGTTTATGTTTTAAAATATCGTCTATTAATTTAAGCGCATTCTTTTTTAATCACCCTGTATAAGACTAGAGAGTTATTAGACGTGGTAGATACCCCCCCCCCCCCCTCATTGATTTAACCATACATACACTGCGAGCTCTTCGTCCGTCTTACAGTATTTTATTTTTCGTGCACTAGAGTGTTTTTGTTGAAATTTCGTCAGGCCTATTCATACTAAACTTGAACAAAAAAGTAAATGACCAACTTGCGTTTTCATCTGTCCAATCTAAACTTCAATATCTCGCAAACACGTTAAGCCCAGTCAACCAAACTTGGCAGACGCACTGACAACTAGACACAGTTTGCCTGTACAGCAAATTTACCCACACAAGCTTCACAGTGACGACGCGGAGCAAGCCAAAACACCACCGAAAAGCATGACAAATGGACTGAATTTCTCTGCCTCAGCAACATTGGCATAGGGGCTGGTGGCTAAAACTGAGCTTGGCACGTGCTAAACAGATGTCTTGGCTGTGAATATCGCTCACTTGCAACTCTTTATAAACAGCGTTTTTCAGCCATGTTTCATTACAACACGATGGTCCAAAGACGCTCACTGCCTGGTGTCAACAGATGACGAGCCCTTCCCCGGCTCCAAGATGGCTCCGCGTTCCGAGTCGTTGCACGTCCACTTGGGATGTCACCATCAATCATATGGAGGCTGCAAGAACGATGGTGGGCGACCGGAAGGTTCAGGACAGGCCTCGAACAGGATGGCCCCGTTTGACCAACGACAGGATCGACCGGTTCATCGTCAGACAGGCTGTGACGTCACGAACCACCACTGCAAACCTCATCGGGGGCCAACTACGGG